CTTCGCTGACGCTTGGCATCGGAATCTCGGAAAGAGCGTGTTCTACCGCTGCTGGCGGAAAGCCCGGGCGGGTCACTACCAGTTCGAACCCCTCCCCCCCCCCCCTCCGGAAAACCGGGGGGGGTCACTACCGGTTCGAACCCCTCCCCCCCCCCAGTTCATCATGAAAAGGGGGGGGGGTCACTACGGGTTCGATCCCCCCCCCCTCGAACTCGAAAACCGGGGGGGGGGGCTACCAGTTCGAACCCCCCCCCCCCTCGAAAACCGAGGGGGGGTGCGGACAGTGGTGGGGACGGTGGTGGTGGGGACAGTGGTGAGGGGACAGCGGGACAGTGGTGGGGACAGTGGGACAGTGGTGGGGACGGTAGTGGTGGGGACAATGGTGAGGACAATGGTGGGGACAGTGGGACAGTGGTGGGGACGGTGGTGGTGGGGACAGTGGTGTGGGGACAGTGGGAATGTGGTGGAAACAGTAGGACAGTGGAGGGTACAGTGGTGGTGGGGACAGTGGTGAAGGCGGTGGCGAGGACGGCGGTGGGACAATGGGACAGAGGTACAGTGGGGACAGTGGTGGGGACAGTGGGGACAGTGGTGGGAACAGTGGGACAGCTCAGTGGTTCGAACCGGTAGTGACCCCCCCTCCCGTTTTCGAGGGGGGGGGGGGGGGGGGAACCGTTACGAGGGAGGGGGGGGGGGGGGGGGGGTTTGCCGGGGAAGGGGGGGGGGTCCAGCAGGGGGGGGGGAACCCCGGGTTCCGGAGGAAAAGGGCGGCAATTTTCTACAGTAAAGCGGCGGTGAATCACGCTCTCTCGAATCTCGAAATCAGAGTTGAGCCAGACTGGACTTGAAGACGCGAAGGAGGAGGCCGGGCCAGAGCGCTACCTCTCCCAAGCAGTGCAAGAGTTGCTTTGCGCCGACGACACGATGCTCTAGTCGGGCGAAATACAGCGACGGCATACATGCGCAGCATTGAAAAGACCAGGTCGCAAAAACGGGCTGTACTGTTTAAGTGGCGCAAGCTGGAAATTCTGGTCTTTCGATGTGATGCGCACATTCCGAGGCCAGACGGTTTTTGGGAACCGAAGAAAGAGAACATTCGAGACCTAGGCAATTTGATTTCGAGCGATGGAAACATTAGCACTGAACTCTCACGCCGGCCTGGTGCCAGGCGGTCTGACTTCGACAAATTGAAGCGATTATGTGGTCATTTCCCGTGGACGCAGTCACGGGAGCTTGACATCGTCAACGCATACATTCTCGGTAAACTGCTATATTGTCTGCAGACGTCAATCCTGAACCAGGCGGAAACATAGAAGCTCAACGCCTTCCGCGTGAGATGCTCGAGGCAAGTGCTCCGCATCCCGCAATCACGCAGTCGCCACGTGACGACTGCGTGTTCTGCAGCAGGCAGGCGCCACCCCGCCGAGGAATACCCTCCTGCATCGTCGGTTGATGCTCCTGGGACATGCCGCACGGAAGCCAGCTGACGAGCCCGGTCGGCCTTTTTCACGTGAGCTACAACAACACGGAGCTTCAAGCGAAAGAGGGGCCGCCCCAAGACAACTTGGACCGAACCTGTCTCTGCCCCCACCGTCGGGGCCGCGGGGGGCGAGGAGGCCCCGCTGGGGCTCTGGCAAGACAGCGTGCATTCTACCGCAGCCTGGCGAGCGGCCGTGAAGCGGTGTTGCGACGCCCTGTGAGGCCACGGCATCTGTGCTCAGGCGCTTTGCACTCAAGTTTCTGTCCCCCTCTCTCTCTCTCGGACCCAGGCCAGGAACGCACCCATCCTTTCTGGTCGGCGGACTGGCCTGGGAAAGCCCAGCTTGGAGAGCAATAGTCGAACACAAGTGACTTGAAGTCGAGGGCGTCGAGGAGGAAACGGAGGAAGAGGAAGGATGACAGAGGAAGGAGGAAGGAGGAGAACCCAAGACATGCAGCGTCGTGTTTTCCCCAACCATTACGTGGTGTTGGATCCTCGTTTTGAAGAGACAGCGTTCCACGTCCCTCCTTCCTTCCATCCTCCTCTCTCTCCTCCCTCCTCCCATCCCATGCACCCCTAACACGTTTCGCGGCCCAATAAGGAGCTTCGCCGAAGTCCCAGTGGCAGGGTTCGCATGCGGTTCCAACCCAACTTCGGCACACCCCTCACACGTGTCGTGGCCACATCAGGAGCTCTGCCGAAGGCTCTAGTGGCAAGCTTCGCATGCGGTTCCACCCGCATTCCGGCACACCCATCACACGTTTCGTGGCCCCACTCTGCATACCCCAGTGGCAGCGTTCGCATGTAATTCCAACCCAACTTCGGCACACCCCTCAAACGTTTCATGGCCCCGTAGGGAGCTGCACCGAATGCCCGAGCGACAGGGTTCGCATGCGGCTCCATCCCCAATTTCGGCACACCCCTCACACGTTTCATGACCCCGCAGAGAGCGCCACCGAAGGCCTCAGTGGCTGGGTTCGCATGCGGTTCCACCCCCATTCTGGCACACTGATCACACGTTTCGTGGCCCCGATGGGAAGCTTCACCGAAGGCCCTAGTGGCAAGCTTCGCATGCGGTTCCAACCCCACTTTCGGCACACCAATCACACGGTTCGTGGCCCAAGAGGGAGCTCCACCGAAGGCCCCAGTGGCAGGCTTCGCATGTGGTTCCACCCCCAATTTCGGCACACCAATCACACGTTTCGTGGCCCCATGGGAAGCTCCACCGAAGGCCCCAGTGGCAGGCTTCGCATGCGGTTCCACCCCCATTTCGGCACACCCCTCACACGTTTCGTGGCTCTATGGGAAGCTCCACCGAAGGCCCCAGTGGCAGGGTTCCCATGCGGTTCCACCCCCAATTTCGGCACACCCCTCACACGTTTCGCGGCCCTATGGAAAGCTCCTCCGAAGACGGTACTCACAACTGCGGCACTCACGACTGCATATAACTGGGCCATTCGCCAGGCTCTTTGTATCTCCGCGTGGCTCCCCGAGGTCTGGGCCCCTTCTTGGCGACCGGCTCTTCCTCCCGAGCAGCGCCCTGACGGTGCACCTGGGGCCTGGCGAGGGCCCCCAGCTGCCGAAACGTAACAGGGCATACGTCGACCCCTATCCCAGACGTCGTAGGGTCGTCGAACGGACTGCAAATTTGGGGCTCAACCCTGGGATATAAGAGGGGGGCGTCCATCCTCGATATGGGTGCGTCCGAATAACCCTCGGGGTGTAACCCAGGGCTTTCCCCCTTGTCTTAGCCGTTTGATGTTTCGTCGAAAAGTCCAGGGTTGGGATAGAAGCGTCGCCTGCGGAAACGTGCAGCAAGCACCTTCCACCGTGATTGTTTCACGAGGCGAGGTGATTTGGTCTTCGGGCCTCCGGCGGCCGCTCGGTACGATCCAGGCACCCCGGGAACGCCGTCGGCGAGGCGCAGCTGCTGGAACGCATCCCGAGGCAAGAACTCCTCCAGAGAGACGCGAAAACGCCCGTCCTCCTCGTGCTCCTCCCCGTCCCCCTCCCCCCCTCCCTGGGAGCGGGAGCAGGGGGAGGCGGGAGACGCGAGGGGCGGGGGACGCAGCGGAGGCGAGGCGGCGGATCTTGATCACCTCCATCACCCCCCCTCCGCGGACGTCGGCACGCATACTCAGCACCCTAGCGGGCTGCCTTGTTCTTCCTCATCTCACGGGCATCCCTTCCCCCGCTGCGTGCGGAGGGCCTCGTGTCCGTCACCCTTTCCCAAGCCAGGTTCCATGCTCATCTCCACGTGGACGCAACAGCTCAGCTCAGTCGCTTATGTTTACCTAGCCCAGAGATTGAGCCATCCTAGATGGGGTCCGAGTTGACGGGGTCGGAGGATCGCGCCGCATCGCCAACGCATCGCCGATGCATCGGCGATGCCTCGACAATACATCTCGTCACCGTCGGCGATGCATCGGCGCCATCGGCGCGGAGAAATTCTGGCACCACGTCGAGCAGGATCGGCGATGCCTCGGCGATGCGGCGCAGTCCTCCGACCACACCTGGGAGGCCTAGACTTCAGTCGGGCATGTCCTCCCACAGGCGGGCTCTGGTCGACAAGTGAAGAATAGCCAGAACATAGATTCAAAACATAGCCAGACCTAGCAGGAGCATCGCCCCTGAGCATCTTTGTTGAAAGTTCCTGAATGTTCCTCCTGTAGAGGCATGCCCTACGGTGGCACCGTAAGGGTATAAACTTTCCAGCCGCCCAGGGGCAGGCGCCCCCGACGGCGAAAAAGTTTATTTCATACCGTTCTCCGCCCGTTAAGACTGGCCCGACAAGGCGCGGCGGCGCGGCCTTCTTGTCCTCCGCGGGCGGCTTCGGCACGGCCCCGGCAGGCGCGGGCTCCAGGGCGGGCGCGGCGCGCGGCGCCGGCGGCGCGTCGGGCTCCGCGGCCTGGGCTCGCGCGGGGGGAGGCTCGCCGCCACCGCCGCTGCTCGCCGGCGGCGCCCCACGACGGGCGTGTGTGTGTGTGTGTGTGCATAGCCTTAGGTCGGGCGTGTCCCCCTACATGGGGGATTGTCGACGAAGAATTATCCCAGTGCGACCCTACCTAGGAGTTGGAGCCTCCAGGAGACCAACATGCTAGGCTATGCTATGCTATGCTATGCTGCGCTATGCCATGCTGCGCTATGCTATGCTGCGCTATGCTGCGCTATGCTGCGCTATGCTATGCTATGCTATGCTATGCTATGCTTTTGCTGTGCCTTCGCTTTTGCCTTCACTTTTGCCTTTGCTTTTGCTTTTGCTTAGCACCCAGGGAGCGCAACTGGGGGAACCGCGCGTTTGCTGTTACCTTTGCTGTTGCTCTTGTTTGGCTCCCAGGGGACTTGGGGAACCGCCCGGGGCGCGTTCCACTGCCCGGCCCCTTTAAGCCAACAGAGTAAGAATCCTTCTAGGCATAGCCTAGGTAGGGAATTACAAACATCGCCTAAAAATGCACCAACATGGTCAAAAAATACGCCAGAAATAGTCCCCAGACTATTTCCTGATTATTTTCGGATAGTC